GGGTTATAGTTCCTTTAAAGGGATCTATAAGGATTCCTTTAAAGGGATCTATAAGGGGTTCAGGGACTTTAGGGTTCAGGAGGATATCGGGTTTAGGGTTTTGGGGCTTAGGGATAATATGGGGTTCAGAGCTCTAGGGATTTAGGGTGGTTCGGTTCAGGGTTCAGCCTCTGGGGATTGACAGACTTGCAATATGTTCCAGCAATCTTCGGTGTACCAAATCTTATCGACTTAGACTAGAAGCACACAAACAAAACTAAGTCATCCCAAGAGGGACATGTACAGAAACGAACCAACTCTCTTCTTCAACAACCGGGCCCCAAAAAGTTCAAACTTTCTAAACTAGAGCTCACATATAAGGTCAGTGCCAAAGCCAAAACTCGACACCCTGCTCCGGACCCTCCTGCCTACACTCCACAATCGAATGCCCAACAACCGATCCCGGAACCTCATACCCAAGGGCCAGCACCCGAAGCCTCAACACCACTAAACGTCGCCCCGCTCCTTGCAAAAACAACCTTGGACCCTAAAGCCTTGCAGAACCCATGTAAAACTCGCATAGAGAATGTATAGGGAACCGCAACACAAACAGCAGAACCTTTCAATCCATCCTTTGACAGCCCCTACACCTAGGTGTAGGAGCTTAACATGCGTCGAGAACCAACACATATGGGTGGTTGTCAAAATGAGGGTCCCTTTTTGGTCCCTATCATAATACGGCACCTATTATTTAGGGTACCCAAAAAGGGACCCTGATTTTGACAACCATCCATGAAGAGCACCCTCAACCCTGAGAGCCCCTAAACCCTAAAGCCCCCAGACTCAGAAGCCCCTAGCTCTCCTAGAACCCTACTTGCAGTTTAGGGTTTTTCGAGTTTAGGGCTTAGGATTTAGGGTTTAGGGCAACTTGCAGCCCCAAACTCTGAGTTCCCAGAGCTAAGCTATACCCCCCTTAGAACCCTGATAAAAACTACTGCGGTTTAATGTTCTCTTGGGTTTTATGTGAACAAAAATAAACAGTAATTCCTAAGGAGACTGTAGTAAGAATCCCAAAGCGGAGGAGCCCTAGGCTGTGCATCTTGGGTACGGCCCGCACCCAGGAATGGCTGAATAATATTCATAATATAGATATATTAGGACCTTAATAGTGGCCCTTTTATAGACTCTTACTGTATGGGGCAAGTACCTAACCTAAACCCCTGAACCCTGAACCCCTAAACTTCCTCCTTTTCCCCTTTGATAGTAAGAACCCCAAACCCAAGAAGCCCTAGGCTGTGCATCTGTGAATCTCTTCCGTCCACATCTGACTCTTCTCCGTCAGCTCGAGGCGCCGAGCCTGCATTTAACGATTTCACATCTAGCTCACTAAATCAGCATAAGGATCCCCCCCCTATAATTTGAGGCATCTTTAGGGGTTTAGGGGTTTAGGGTTATCTGGGGTCATGAACGGTTGGGATAGGATTAAGAATTTAAATCGTTGTTCCTTACTGGGTTTAAGTACCCGTAAACATGTAAAATGTTACCCAACTATGGCTAAGACAAGGTTTCAAAGAGTTTAGGTTCTGGAGGTGCTAATCATAATTAGCGTAGGGTTCTGGGGCATTTTCGAGTATCAAAAGATGGGGACTTTTTCGGCGGCGACATTGGTGATTCCGACCTTGGGTTCACCATTTAGGTGTCTGCATGGGTTGAGGATGTAAACCGCGCCCGGGGCTTGGAGTTTCCAGGTGAACCTAACTTCGCCCTGGGCTGAAGATGCAAACAGTTGTCCATTCTTGAACGTCTGGCCGTCGGGCGTTCAAGTTTCAGTTTCGGCTTGGGGTACAGCGATGGAGCCAAAATTGCCAGCATCGACCATCAACATGTCATTGGCTTACCTGAGGTATGTTCCTACCGTTGATGATACAAATCCTGCATTACCCAAGTAAGGAATCTACCATAACTTCCAGAGTTTAGGGTCCTTAAAGTAATGCAGGATTTATATCAGCCACCGTCGGAAAGACAGCCGGGCTGCTCTTGCCAAACAACCTGACGATCATCAGTTGCAGCCATGTGCCTTCAAACGGACTCCTCCTCGCCACGAACATACGCTCCACTTGAGTAACCTTTTTTTACTTGAAAACCCAGCAAAACCCAGTTAAAGGCTTTAAGCTCTCCCATTTACCAAGCGATAACAAACTGTCAACACGTACCTGTGCAAATAAATGTACATGTGCATACATGTAAACAGTGTACATAAGATATAAACATATATATATATATACATACATATATATGTAGTAGAGGGAGGGATAGAGACAGAGAGAAAGAAAGAGACAGAGAGAGAGAGAGAGAGAGAGAGCGCGAGAGAGAGAGAGAGAGAGAGCCCGCGAGAGAGGGAGAGAGAGATAGAGAGAGGAGGAGAGAGGGGAAGCAGATAGAGAGAGAGAGAGAGAGAGAGAGCTAGACAAGCAGAGAGCGAGACCGTGACAGTCAGGTCAAGAATGCTCCGTAGCTGCAGCTGTTGTTTAACCTAAGTAGTAGAGGTAGCAGTAGCAGCGATACTCGTTTCTTTACGACGGCGCATCATGCATCTGGACTTGTCTCTTCTCTCAACCCTGCACTCTGCACCCCGCCCTGCAGCCGAAACTGAAACCATGACGCTCCTAGAGGTACAATGCCAAGTTTAAATCCCAAACCCTGAAGGGGAAGCCGTAGATCTCCAACTCAAGCTTACTTGGAGGATCATGGGACTTAGTAAGTAGGGTTATAAGTACCTTAATTCGGGCTTAAGTCATTCTAAGTGTAGTTACCTTACTTATAACCCCAATTACTAAGTCCCCTGATCCTTTAAGTAAACCCTACCCCGACAAACCCCCAGCCGACCTTCAATTCAAGACTCAACGCCACTATGGCAAACCCTAAGCCCTGGCCTAAATCTTCGACTCAAGCCTAAACCTTTATAGTTGACGTCACCCACGCTTGTACCCGTATGGGACCGTCTTGAAGCCCCACACAACCAAAAAACAAGGCCTCAACGAAACTCTCTTACCCCCTTTGTAGAACTCCCTTAGTTGCAGCCACCCAAATCCCTAAAGCCCAAAACCCCACAACATAAAAGCGTAAAGGCTAAAACCAAAAACCCTAAGCCACCTCCAAGTCGTAGTACTGCTTCTCATCTTCCATAATCTCCTGCTCCTGCCAAAGCTCCGCGGCTCAGGGCTGAAGATTTCGAAGGTTTAAACGGGCTGAAAAGGTTTAGGGCTTTGGGCCTTTAAGGCTCCAAGGCTAAGGTTCTATGGTTTAGGCCTTCCAAGGCTTCAGGATTTGGGTCTAGCGGCTCCAACATAAGAAAGGAATGCAGCACAACTGCATACATGATGACATGCTTCGATTAGGACGAGGTCATCGGCTTGGTGTCGGAATGTGCCGTAGCGCTAAACCCTAAACCCCAAATCCTGAACCCTAAACCCTAAACCCCAACCCCTAAACCCTAAACCCTATATAAACCCCAAATCCTGAACCCTAAACCCTATATAAACCCCAAATCCTGAACCATCAGACTGCCCCCTGGAATGCACTCAGGGAACAGCCGGACTTCGTCCCTGTATGACTGCCATATGTGCCTTAGTACTTAAAATAAGGCCCATTTTCGGGTTCCTCTTAAAGAGCTCTACAAGGGCTACTATCATGGCGATTGTACTGCAAGGTTCTCGCATAAGGGGCCTTCACAATTACAGCGCGCCATGTACTACCTTGCCCTTTCCAACGATCCTTCCACCCTTGAGTGCTACACTGTCCGCTACTTTACAACAAAATACTGCATTAGTGCAAAGGCGATTAAGGTTTAAGTTTTAGGGCTCTGCCTCTCCGAAAGAACAGAAGCAGGATGCCCAGTAACCTAGAAATAAAAAGGGCTCCCTTTTGGTATTAGGTAACTTTATAAGGAAGCTAGGACTAAACAAGGGAATAAGTACCACCGGGCATCCTAGGAAGCTGTGGCCTGTTTCCTCGTCTGGATTTGAAGATGCAGCAGTTTTGCCTTGAACAGACGAGTTGTCCAAAGGTCGGCTTCAAGGTTGGGGGGGGGTTTACTTTAGGGACCCCAAAAAGCACATAAGCATAAGCATTATATGGGGATACCCCTTCCTTATTGGGCATTATAAGGGGGTTTATATGGGATATCCCTACCCTGATTTTTGCTTATGTGCTTTTTTGGGGCCTTGTACTTGGAGCCCCTGCTCCGGGGCTTCTCGAGCCTCCCAGAGGCCTCGGCTGCTGTGTTTCTACATGTGGCTAGTTGTCAAAATTAGGGTCCCTTTTGGGGTTCCTATTATAATACGGCACCCATTATTTAGGGTACCCAAAAAAGGGACCATAATTTTGACAGCTACCCACACGTATAATACTTATAAGCTTAACAGGCTCCAGCCGTGTGACCCCCATGCAGAAACCTTGAGTCTAGTCTAGATGATGTATCATAGAGCAGGTCAGAATATGCAATCTTATCAATGTGTGAGCCCTTCGACCACCTCCCTTCGCAATTTTTCCGACATTCTGGGCTCGTTTCACAGTTTGGGTTCTAGGATTCAAAGGTTTGTGGTTTAAAGAAATTAAAGTTTAAGGCTGAAAATCGCTCGCCCTTTAGGACTCGTTTGAGTCCTGCACACTGCAAACTGCACCTGAACCTGGAAATACGGCAACATGCTTGCAGCCGACGATGCCGTCTTCAAGCCCTAAACCTTACTTGGAGGATCCTGGGACTTAGTAAGTAGGGTTATAAGTACCTTACTTGGGATCATAAGTACTTCTAAGTGTAGTTACCTTACTTATAACCCCAACTACTAAGTCCCATGATCCTGTAAGTAAACCCTAAAACCCTAAACCCTGCGAGTGGTAAGAACCACCGCACGGTACGAATGATGGTCCCAAGCTCTTGGATGCCAGACAAGGTCAGCGGGGGCTTAGAATGGCTCGGCTATGCAGAGCTACGTCATACCCTCTATGCTGACACTGCCTTTTCAGCGTCTCGGCTTTCCATGCTGCGGCGTCACAGGCCTTGCGACAGAGCAGACAGGTGATTTCACCTGCATGCCCCCGGCTCCTCCTTCCCCGAAAGAACCCTTAGTATTTTCCATTCCTGTACTCAAAGGTTCTAAGCCTTCGAGCTTCCGCTTGCGTGCGGACTTTCTCTCTGGATCTTCGACGATCCTCCAAGAGTGTTGCATGCGGTAGTACAACTCCATCTCCTTGCTGTTGTGCTTTGTCAATGCATTCGCTAACTGTGCCTCCGAGTGCACCCAGCGTAGGATCACCCCGTGGTTCTGTTGCGCCTCCTTGAGGGATAAAAGCTCGATATTCGTGCGCTTCTCTGCTCCCTTAATCACCAGGACCTCAGTTTCAAGCTTGTCGTACACATTACGTGAATCTGTCACCAGGCAGCCAGTCACCTTAGCCACAGTAACGTCAGGATGCCTGATGTTCACGCAACCGTAGTTCAACTCGCTCCACTGAAATCTAGCGAAGTACAAAGCATCTTCGCCATTTATAGCGGCTTGTGCTTCTGCCGCTCCCGGAGAGCGGCATGCACGATCAATACGATTAGAATGCCAGGCAATTGGTGTCACCTGTCCTAATTCTCCATCCAGCATGTTTGCGGGACCCAAGCCAATGAAAATCCCTTGTGTAGAACCCCCGTCCTGTCGATTCTGGTTGGCTGCGTCGACCCAGCCGAACAAGGCCAGCGGTTCCTCACTGGAAAAACGATGGATGATCATCTGATGTTCCTTGCGGGCCTTAGCTTGGTAAGCCAGCAGGTTTGCTTTAACAATTGTGTTCACTGTACTTTCCGGAATCTCGGACAGCAGAAGACTCACTTCCGCTGACAAGTGGGGAGCCACTTGTTGCGCGTGCCACGAGAGTCCTCCAAGCAGGGCTCGGAGCTGGCTGCGCTCCTTTTCAGTAGTGCTTGCTTCCTTGTCCTTTCGCCTTGAAGAAGAGACCGGGATTTCCTTGACACCGTCGAGGTAGTTGGGTTGGCTTAGCAGGAAGCCCTGTTCAGTTCTTTCTACATGAACCCCACATTGAATGAACTTGTCCGTGTCCCAGTCACCCCACTTAAAACGCTGTCGAATCTTTTCCAGCAAGGCTTGCCATTCTGCATCGTCTGCACAACCACTGAAAAGAAAATCGTCCACGTGTCCCGAAATCATGCCTCGTAACACCCCATCGGGACGCCACACCCAGGCACATGCATCGGAATGCGTGCGCTCCAGTCCCAGTTCCTGCAAGTATGTTGACACAGTCTTGTACCACTCCAAAGGAGCGTCAACAAGCCCGTAACATGCGCGACGTAGCCGGGTCACAGTTCCGGTAGGCAATCCCATGGCTTCACATATTTCATCGCATGGCACGCAATGTAGAACATCTGGGTACTCACGTCCTTGCAAGAATGCTCCTGAAACGTCGCCCTTTTGCACCTGCCAGCCTCTCACTGCCGCGATTTGTAACTGCATCTGTCTTGTCTGCCTCGTCATAACCGGGGCCGTGGTTGCTCTGTGTTCATACTTCGGGTCTTGATATCCTAATAATACTGCTCTTGCTTTGGCCTTGCGGCCACCTTCTTCAGTATTCTTCCAAGTCAAGATCCACCTCATATGAACAGCTTGCTCGCGGTTGGGGCGCAACTCCTCGGGCAGCGCTTCGAACGCCTTGGATGCAATGAAGTTACGTACTTCTACAGCTTTGGCGTCTCTAAACTTCTGTTTGTCCTCTTCTGACAATCGCCGTTCGCTCACTTCGATGGCCTTCCGCTTCAGCGCTCCCACAAAGTAGGATGGCAGGTGACGCAGAGTCTTTTGGAGCCCGTGCTGGTTCCCTGGCAGCTCCACTTCAACCTCTACGGCTGCCTCCTGGTCGTTCCAGTAGGCAGCGGGTTGCTCATCCCATTGGTCCTCTCTGACTGAGGTCCACCACGCCTCTGCGAGCTGGAACCCACTCTCAGAGATGCGAGGTCGGGATGACCCTGCTGAGGGCGTAGGCTCATCCCTTTCGTCTTCTGGTGCCTCCATGGGCACCGAATCTGGTAGCGCCCTTTTCCCTCGAAGTCGTCGTCGTGAAGGTTGCTCCTCTTCCTCCGGATCTTGGGCCCTCAGCCATTCTCGTGCCGAGGGTACATGACTCGACAAATCTTGAAACTGATTTCCTCCAATCTCAGAAGCTACCCTGTGGAAGGTCCAGGGTGTCTTATCCTCAGGCTTGGACAACGCTTCTACCAACTCTTCACGCTCCGATGCTCTCCTGAGCTGCTCTGGGCAACACTTGATCAAGCTCCTGCCTCGCACGAGCCACACCGCACTTCCAGCTTTCAGGTGTCCTGTGTCATCTTCCTTTTTCTCAGTCGCTAGGATCCGCGCTGGTCCTATAAAGCGACCGTGTTTGTCGCCTGGTTGGCGACGTCCCTGTTGCCCTGTCTGGGCTCGCCATAAGAACACTAGCTCACCGGGCTGGAAATCTAGAATCTGCTGACCTCGTGAGTTTCGAGCCCTCACAATGCGCTGTTGGGCAACCCATGAGGAATGAGCTGCTTCGGCTGCTGCCCTCAGGTTCGCGGATCGCTCAACACTGCCTTGCGGATCTTCCCACAACATAGACACAGGTGCTTGATTCATGACTTCCAAAACAGGGCCTACTTGGTCAGGATTGTGACCCAACGTGTGTTGGACCGGTGAGAACCCTCGCACATTATCCCTATGATTGAACGTCATGACTGAGATGGCCAGAGCTTCCTCGGGGTCAATGTTGGGATTCTCGAGACTCAGTTTCGTCATCACTTCTTTCAAACCCTGAACAGCCTGCTCGCAAACTCCAAGTTTCCAGTGCGCCTCCCCTGGTATGATGTCTAAGAAGATCTCATGGCGGTCGCAGAAACTCTCCACAGCTTGGCTTCTGAATGAACCCGCGGGGTCCAATCTCAACACCTTAGGCTTCCCGAAATACTGCAACCATCCCTCCTGAAGATATCCCAGGCATGAGGCGGCGTTGGGTTGTTGTTTGGAACCGCGTGTCAGTATCCTGGCAGCTCTAAACCGAGAACACTCGTCAACTACCAACATGAACTGCACCTTCTCATGACTGGTGGGATGGGTCCAGTGACCTACATCGGCCGAAATCGTGCTCCATCGCGGGGGCAAAGGTTCCAGGGAAGCAAGATGACGATGTCCTACCTTCCGCTTCTCGTTACACACTGCACACTGAAATTCCTTAGCCAATTCCAGGACTCGTGCTGGTGCCCCGCGCCGTCTCAGGGCATCGATCATGTGTCTGAGGCTACCATGTCCCGTGGCCGAGTGTAAAAGGTACAGTTGTTTGCGAATGCGCTCATCATCTTTCTTCCTATCCACTGAAAACCTGCGCTTCCACAACCCTTCCCTCTGAATCACGAACCCTTCTTCCAAAGGGGGTCTGGGAACCTCGGGACTCTGAAAACCTAATTTCCGTAACTCTCCCTGAACTTCCTCACAAACCATCTTAGAGCCACGACCCACGAACGCCGAAACCGTGAGCCTACTTCCCTTCCACGGGCACGTTCCGTGCCACGCCTGCGGGGCGAAGGTGACGCACTGGCCCTTTGTAGGTAGCTTCCGCCCCCACAGCCGTCGTCCGTCGACGGATACCTGGGCCAGGGCGTCTTGACCCTCGTATCCGGGAGGAGTCTCTATCCAGAGCTCTCCTCCTGTGTAGTCGCCTACGCCTAGAAGATGGTTCGGGTACTGAGGATTATTGTTCACATCTCTGTGTATGGGAAGTTTGTTGTTCGCACTAATCACGAAAGAAGACCACACACTACGTGCTGGGAGGTTGGCCTTCAGCCACTTGTTCATGTATCGTGTCACTCCCGGCATGTCGTGAGTACGATTCGTGATCCCATACTGACCTCCGTGGGAATAAAGCCCAAAGAGATGGTAGCTCGCACTCTGGTGCCCGTTTTGCAAAGCCATGTTACGAACCTTGCTCGCTGACATCTGTGACATGTGCTGCAACAACGGTTGAGCATCCTCCAAGGTGTACTTGCGTTGTGCTTCCAACTTTTGCGCGATAGCTTCGGCTTGCTGCTTTTGGTCTTGGGAGTACATACACGCTTCGGGTTCCGAGGAGTTCAGTGGTTTGGGGTCCTGTTGCGTAGAGCCTGCGCCTCTAGGCTGGTTCCATCCTATGGCTTCTTTGGGCAACACGCAATTACTACACACCATCTGAAATCCATGAATCTTCGACTCACCACAAGTACACGTCTCCCCTTCTCCGAAACCCTCTGGCAACTCACTCTCCCCTCTACTCTCTCGCAAAACAGCCTGAAAACTCAACTCCTGACACATCACATCAGTCACCCTTTGTGCGAACTCCTCAGTATACTCAGAACTTCGACTGGCAGCCAGACCTTCGCACCTGCCATGCTTGTACTGTCTCTGGCAGCGACAGGGCATCTCCATTTGTTCCGCCAATCTCTTGTGACTAGTCAGAAGTCTCCAACCTTTCTGAAGCAACAAACCCGATCTATCATCCCTCAATTGGACACGACATCCCTTAACAACTGCCGTAGACAGATTGTAACGTTTCCGTAAGTCCTGGAACAGGGGAAGACGCCATGCTTCACACCGGTCTGGGAGCTCAATCGTGCAGTGGCTTCCCTGCTGCAAGCACGCATGGAACACGCAGCAAACACCTACATACACTTTCATGATCTCCCTACGCTTCTCCTTAAGTTCCTGTTTCTGGGTTTCCGTTCTTTGGTTTGCGGCTTGCAGAGGCGAGAACGGACTGCCGGGAGGTGCCAGCCACACATGCTGAGGCTTCTCAAGTCTAAGCCTGTGCAACACAAACTTCAAGCCCTCGGGAGTACTTAGATCCCCGGCATTCCACAATGAACACCGTGTGGCTGCATGAACATCCCCGGTCCTGCGCTGCACCGTCTGTGTTAGCCGACTGTTCGGCTCACACGCAATTTCCATGAGAACTTGGTCGCGACCCTCCGTTTCCATCTGAGGCCACCAACTGCTGGACTATCTGCGGTACAATCGCAGAACACTGGTTTTCTAAGTGTCGGGCCTGGGAGGGACTAAGGTTCCGACTACATTCTCCACACCCATATGGATCCGGAGGTTCGCTTTCTTCCCGGCTCATACCAGGTCGATCATCTCCTTGCCGGCAATCTTCTACTTCTCCTTCTTCCGAGGTCGTTCCTCGGATCCCTGGCTCTGGTCCTGTAGGATCTTCAACTCGTTCTTCATCTGCTCCATAGACTCGGCCATTGTCTGGAGTAGAGCCATGTGTTCTGGTACATATGGTGTTCCCGAACTCGACGTGGCCTTCGCGAACTGCGGGATCTCGGGCTCCGGCTCGGTCACATAGCCACCCTTCACCTTCAAGGTGAGCTTGGGCTTCGCCGCTGGAGCCACCGGAGCCGTCACATCGGTGGCACGAGTCAACCACCTCGCCAGTCGCTTCAGCTTGGGATTCGTATCGTCGGTCTCCTTGAACGTCTGGATCACCCAAGCTGTGTACTGTGGGAAGCCCTCGTAGAGCTCTCCGTACGTCAGGCTCGCATGACGGCCGAACCCGACCACATCCTTGGCCGTACTTTCCACCGTTTCGTACAAGTAGTCGAGCGCCTTGCCTTCGATCTGCGTCATTGTCTCGTTCGCGCTCACCTCGAGGCCCAGCACCTTGGTCACGTACTCCACCAATTGGGCCTTTCGGCCCTTGTTCTTGTTGAGCTGCGTGATCTGTTGCTGGAGCGGCGTCGCTTTGCGGGTGCCCTTGGGGAGCGCCCACTCCTCGTCCTGAGCATTCACCAACTCGCGAAGCCGGTGTTTCAACTCGGCCACGTTCCAGCTTTCCGCTGGGATCTCGCCGAAGGTCTCGATCGCGGCCCTCAGCTGCGGCTTGCTCATGCTCTCCATGTCGTCCCTCGGAAGACAAAGGTATTGGAGCACTGGAGATGGGATCACTGAGTCCTTGACGTGGCTGCGATCCCGATTGACATCTCGACTCTGATGCATCAAGCTCACACGTGGAAACTGCAGCTGCACACGCTCGCACTGGCTCGACTGAACACTCTGAGTTATCAGGAATGGAAAATTGTTCAACGACCCCAAAACTCACCCTACTGCCAAACCTGTCTTTACCCCGTTCGGAAGAAGGAGGATCTACAGACACTTTGGCTACACTACCCTGTCCGGAGATGTCGGGCTCCCCTCGTTTACTGTCCGGTCCAGTCAACAAGGGGTCATCTCCCTACTCGGCCGCTTCAATGTATGAAGCTAGTGATGGAACCGCGGTGGCTGTCACAGCGGCTCCTTCGAAAAGATCTGCTGTCAAATCCAACAACTGGTGGCCTGTGCTTGACCTCTGGAGGGCAATCACCTTTCGAGGATCAAGGTGTCGTAGGACCATCAGGTCGTTCTCGAAGTCAATCACGGCCCCCAATGTTCTCAATGTGGACACTGATATCAAAACTGGCCCGGTTCCTTTGTTCAGTGCATGGATTTGCAGCTTCCCGCTCTTACCATTCGCCTTGAGACCCATGTCTACAGTAGAGATGCATTTGGCCTCTCCGGAATCTGCGAAGCCAAATGTGGGGCGGTTCAGGATGTCCACTCCCTTCACGCCGGCATCTCCGGTCTTCTTCGCATTCTGCAACATGATAGCCTCGATTGCCCGCACCGACCCGAGTGTACGGGTCGCTCCTCCGTCGATTACTCCCAGGCCTGCTTGCACGGCTTCAGCTGTGGTGGGACCCTGGGTTCCCAAGTTGGCTGACTCCCCTGCCCAGGCTTGTTCTGCGTAACAGACAAAGGGGGCGGCTTCGGTCTCTGCACTGTTGGCTTTGTTGCCTGCCGTGGGGCAATTGGCCACTCGATGGCCCACCTTTCCGCAGCCCGCATCCGGCCGCCGGCGGTCGCTCCACCGGAAGACGAGGAAGTACTGTAGTATTTCCTCGAGAGCCGTACTTGATGTTGCCGCTGGCGCGCTTCCTTAAGCGTGCGCCTCGCACCCTGTAAGGTGGCCCACGCTTGTCGGGCCTCCTCCTCTGCTTCTGCCACCAAAGCCATGCCTTCCTCGTTCAGGTCCCCGTCGCCCTCGGAGCGGCTCGCAACCCATGCCTCCTCAGGGTCCTCGATATCGTCGTCCTCGAACTCGCCCATGAACCCTGAGGCCTTGTAGTGCTGGTCACGCCGCTTCAGGTCCTGTTCTGACCACTGGTTCCTCAACTCTTGCGCCACTCGTTGGACGCTGAACTCTCCTTTCAAGGCTGTGAACACCAAGTTGCGCTCACCGGTGGTCAGGTTGGCGTCCTGAAGCAAGTACCACCCCTGGACCCAATCCGGTAGTAGCTCCACTTCTTTCGGGGAGCCACCCTGCGGGGATGGTCCTGAGCTGCCGTAGTAGCTTCCCCAACTCCATGGAGAGGCCGCCCACCATGCTGATCCCGAGGATTCCTGCCAGCTCGGTCCATAAGAACCCCAGTTTCCACTGGAACCCCAGTTCCCATAGTTCCGAGAGGCATCCCAGTCCCACTGGGTCTGCGTCGTCTCATCTTCGGCCGTCGGCTCCTCGGTCGCGGTCTCGCCCTCCGCCGTGGTGGTCGCCTCGGAGGCCCAGCTACTGCGCCGCGAGGTTGTGTAGCCCCATGTTGTCGTAGGTGGCGCGGTCTTCGGTGGCTCCTGGTGCGGCAGGAGTCTTCTCAGGGCCTGTTGAGCCCGCATGTAGAGCTCGTTCTTGCGCGTCACGTAGTCGTTGATGGCTTCTCCAGAACGCCGCCGAGAGTGTCTAAAGTATTGATTCAAGAAATCTGTCATCTCCGCGATCTGTGGTTTTCCCAGACACTCACGTAGCGTCCGCATCAATGTCTCCACACCGCCCTGGTAGGAGACCCATCCCGCCGGTTTCCCGGCGATCATCCTCTTTGCGGATCCTTGGAGTTCCGCCACCAACCGTGGCCCTGCCATGCCTCCAAGATCAGGTTAGGCTATTTTGGGACACATATCCTATTTGGCAAAAATAACCTATATAGGTTATTTATATAAATAAACTATAGGTTATTCTTCCGGTTATTCTATAGGTTATTTTATAGGTTATATCTGAAATAGCCTATTTCCTACTGTAGAATATAGCTTAGAAATTGCTTACTGTGTTTGTCAAACTAGCATCCAGTTTGATAGATTTTTGCATAGAACATTGAAATTGACATATTTTTCTAAGTGGCAGACCTTTGCTTGTGGTTGAAGGAATGTTTTTAGGGAACTCAGAAACAACTGCAAGAGAGGCCTCGACCGCTTGTTTGCGAAAGAATACATGGAAGCTTTGGAGCAAATTCCAGCCGTCTTTGAACAATCCAAGATCCCACAGCAGGCAGGAAACGACAACAGCATCGATCTTTTTAAGCTCTTCCTGGGAAGATTTCTCCAGTGTCCTGTGTTGTGCAACCGGAACGATGGTTGGCAGCAAGAAGTGTTTGCGATGCGAATTATATAGACCGTACGGGTTCGGTGCTTCAGGATCCATCTCTTTTGCAGTGATTTTCTCAGAAAAGCACAGCGACATCGACTGTTCACCAGCTTCGACCGGGTTTGCTGTACACAGTCGTCGGGATCCCACCAATCATCGCACGAGTCATAGTCAGAGGCATCACTGGTTGTTTTGGGCTCTGGACTCTTCCAATCCTCCCAACAATCTTCGTTCTCGTAGATCCACCCATAGTACCACGGCATGGTGCAGGGACTCCGGATCGGCCCAGTTTTGCAACCCTAAACCCTACAAACCCTAAACCCCTAAACCCTAAACCTTATAAACCCTAAGTTTAGAGGGGTAGCATAGAGCAGGCTTGAGGTTTTGCTTTGCACTTCCACAGTCGAGATGTTGGAAAGAAAAACGCATGCAAAGGTTTCTAGGTAGCAGAAAAAGAAAAAAAGCAGCATTTTGCTGCTGAACTCTGCCATGGCTGCCATGGATACCCGTCTGAAGTGCGACCCCCTGATAGCTGTGGGGGACCTGCAGAGGTGCTTCAGGGAGCAAGTCCGACGGGCTGACCTTTGGCACACGGTGCAATGTCCCCGTGGGGCTCAATGGTCATGGAAGACAGCCATCAATGTCGAATGGCTTTACCAGAGCCGCTACTTGCTACAGGACCTGCTTGGGGTCGCTCCGAATGCCGTTCTCCCGAGTGTCAAACTCCGAGCTGCAGTTCGCCGATGCCTCGAGACCCCGGAGCTGAGGATGTCCAAACACGGCATGGACGTGGAAACTTACACGGATGGCATCGACCAGAGGGTCCGTGTCCTGATGTCGCAACTTCGGGACTTGAAGAAGGACGATAAGTATTTCCCGGCAATGAGGAAAGCCAGCTTGGAGGAAAGGGAAGGTCTGGACAAGTTGCTGACCTTCTTGCAGGACCCTGCAAGTGCGAAAACGGCTCAGAAAGCCGAGGCGAGCCAACCTTCGACTTCCTCAGCTTCTGCCTCCACGGCTTTGGTACTGTGGCAGCCGCCAAAGGACCAGGCAGCAGGCAGCTCGGTCTTCAGTAGAATCCTCGCGAAAAAGGGCAGCGAGGAATCTGAGTTTCGAGCAGACCCGCCTAAAGCTTCGCCGAGCAAAAGGCTTCGAGCTTCGCAGCCTTTTCGTGTGCGAGCTCTTTGTTCTCCTCGGAAGAACCAGGCTTCGCCTCGGAAGCAGGCTTCGCCTCGGGAGGCGGCCTTGTCCGACGTGCTGGACAGTGAGGCGGCGAAGGCCGTAGATGAAGCTTTGGTGTCTTCGCCTACGAAGAAGAGGGCCTTGAAGAAACCAGCTGCTGCTTTCAAGAAACCAGCTGCTGCTACAAAGAAAAAGACCAAAAAAGCGCCGAAAACGGAGGAGGCTGCCACCGAGGAGGGAGAGAAAAAGAAGTTTAAAACTACCTTCAAGCACAGAAAAACGAGCCAGGCCTACCACCGGGAAAAGTGCCTTCAAGAGCGACTGGGCTTGTCTCCGCAGTCAGCGAAAAAGAAAGCCAGAGAGAAGATGCGGGAAGTGGCCGCCCTCATCGATTCTGGCAAGCTCGTCGAGACTGACTGAAACCTCTGGGTGGCGAGGAAAAAAATAGAAGTCTTTTTGGCGGGCAGGATTAATTGTTCGGGTTTTCCCAAAAGCTCAGGGTTCTTAGTTTTTCTTCACACTTGTGGTTTGGCAATAGATGTTCTGATATAGCATGAAACACCAAAAAAGTAGCACAGCGACGTGTAATGGAGATAGTTTTTACTTGAAATCTAGCGAAGGCACACAAGAAGCACCTCTATAAGTCACATATAATACACCTGATTGGCAGGCTCGGTTGCTACATATAGTCCCTAGGATTTAGGAGGCAGCTTTAAAAAAGGCGCCGAATCCGATTATGCAGCAGGCCCCAGCGGTTCCAAAATGTAGGATCTCTATGTAGCACAAAATCTAAGTACCAGCTTTTTGTCGACGTCCCAATCCATGTCGGTAGCAAAAACTTAAGTAACAGCTCTATCTAGGTCAGAATCCATTTATGTAGCCATATAAATCTAAGTAGCAGCTTTATCTAGCCCACCAACCATCTAGGAAGCCAAAATCCAAGTAACAGCTTTATCTAGGTCGTAATCCATTTAGGTAGCAAAATTCTAAGTAGCAGCTTTTTCTAGGTCGCAATGCTTTTGCTAGGTCGCAATCCATCTAGGTAGCAAAAATCTAAGTAGCAGTTTTTTCTAGGTCGCAATGCTTGTGCTAGGTCGCAATCCATCTAGGTAGCATAAATCTAAGTAGCAGCTTTTTCTAGGTCGCAATGCTTTTGCTAGGTCGCAATCCATCTAGGTAGCAAAAATCTAAGTAACAGCTTTTATTCTAGGTCGCAATCCATCTCGAAATTTAACTTACATCTTTTAGGTCGCAATCCATTTAGGCAGCACAAAGGCGCTAGGAAGCAAGCCAGGTTTTCCCCTAACCTGAAGCCCTTCTGCAGCCCAGAGCCCGAAGAACTTTTCGGCCGTCGCTCGCTCCGATGGCTCGCAGGAGGAGAACCCAGAGAGGAGAGAGGCACAGCAGCCACGACAGAGACCTCACAAAACTGAAGCAGGGCAAACACAGCACTCGGTAGAAAGAGCACACTGCAGACACTAGCACACAGGGACCCCTGATTTAGGGTTTAAGGTTGAAGGTTCTAGGTTTCTTCTCACAGAAGCACCACACACACAGTAGTCTCCACTCAGCGGTTCTCCTTCCCCCGACAGGCCAAACACGTGGCCGCTGTGTAGGACCAGCAGACAGGCACACTTGCAGCCACTTTCCAACAGACGGACAAGCAGAGGCACACACACACACAGACACACTGAGACACACACGGAAACACCGACAGAAACACAGACACAGACACACGGACAACTGCAGACACAAACACACACACACACACACACACACTTACTTGCTTAGTTACACACACACACACACTAACTAACTAGGCCAAAGTTCTAAGTAGCATGCTTCTCTAGGTAGCATCTCACGAGAGCCATAGCCATGGCCAACCTGCCGCCAGACCGCACGGTCTGGCTCGGCGGCCTTCCCTCCTGGCTGTCGTCGGAGGAGCTGTACCACTGGTGCTGCAGCACTACGTGGCCGGTGTATGCGGAGGTGGCTCCGAGTGGCCACTCGCTGACATTTGGCTATGTCATCTACAGCTCGCAGGAGGAAGCCGAAGAAGCCGTGACAGCTTTGCCTGCAGGTGTGGCTGGCTACCGGGTCAGCAAACGACCCTGGCAGGGCAAAGGCCAGGGCAAAGCGGCAGCAGCACCGAAAGCTGCAGCTCCGAAAGCTGCAGCAGCACCAGCAGCAGCAGAGGAGGAGGCTGCTGCTGTTCCCAAAGCAGCAGCAAAGGCGAAAGCTGCAGCAGCACCAGCAGCAGCTGCAGAGGAGGCTGCTGCTCCGAAAGCAGCTGCAGAGGCCAAAGCTGCAGCAGCACCAGCAGCAGCACCTGCAGAGGAGGCGGCTGCTCCGAAAGCTGCAGCACCAGCAGCACCAGCAGCAGAGGAGGCTGCTGTTCCGAAAGCTGCAGCACCAGCAGCACCAGCAGAGGAGGCTGCTGTTCCAGCTGCACCAGCAGCAGCACCTCGGACTCCAACAAGTCCTGCTGAGGAGCCAGCAGCAGCAGCAAGGCCAAGGGCAAGCCCGGCAGCAAGCCCAGCGGCAAGCCCAAGCCCAGCAGCAAGCCCAAAGGCAGCAGCAAAGGCAGCAGCAAGCCCAAAGGCAGCAGCAAGCCCAAAGGCAGCAGCAAGCCCAAAGGCAGCAGCAAGCCCAAAGGCAGCAGCAAGCCCAGCGGCCAGTCCAGCAGCAAGCCCAGCGGCCAGTGCAGCAGCAGAGCCAGCAGCAAGCTCAGCACCAGCAGCAGCAGCAGGGGAGCATCCGTGGCAGGAGGTCTACGAGCAGAGGCCATGCCGGGATCCTGGCCTACGGAGCCCACGACCTCCACCTCGCCCTCGAGGCTCCGTGCAGCAGCAGCTGGCGAATGCCACTGCTGCTAGCAAGTCGCTGGCGGCCACTTGGCAAGAAATATAGTTCTAAGAGAGCCTCTCGGTAACAAGGCTCTATAGGTAGCAAAAAGACTGGATAGGTAACATGCTTCTCTACGTAGCGGAATCCACTAGGTAGCACATTCTAAGTCACAGGACTCTAGGTAGCAAAAACCCTAGGTAGCAAATTCTAAGTAACAGGACTCTAGGTAGCAAAAACCCTAGGTAGCAAATTCTAAGTAACAGGACTCTAGGTAGCAAAAACCCTAGGTAGCAAATTCTAAGTAACAGGACTCTAGGCAGCAAAGTCTCTAGGTAGCAAATTCTACCTAGCAAACCTCCCTCTCAACTGAGGTGAAAGGGATGCTGCCCTGGCAGAGGAGGCAGCAGGCCAGGGCTGGCTCTTCGAAGGGGGCTGGCTCTTCGAAGGACCCTCCAAGGGCACCCTCGACTAC